CCTTATCAAAAAATACAGTACAATATGACCCAAAACCTCATGCATATCGTTGCAACCCCAAGACGTCCAATTCATGCAGTTTTGACGGCCTTGTCAGTTGTCTCTGCGACAGGTTTCGATGCTGGTAAGTGCTGCTATTTGTGGTGATGAAAGGGTGTGATTGACGTTGTGATTGCTTCCGGGTAGCCGCATGTTAGTAAATGCAAACAAGTTCGTGAAACGCGTATTGAATTGACGCAGCATCTACACAGAAGCAATGCCAGCTTAGTGGAAGCACATTGCACTTCGCAAAACTAAAGCAAGAAGCTGTCCCTAGGGGAGAGTAGAGAGGTAGAGTCTGCTGAGGCACTGCCAGGTGTAGCACACCCGTTGCCGGGGATCTCACCCAAACTGTGCTTATCGTTTCAGCCTTGTTTTGGCTGTACTGTAGTGACGTTACGCTTGCTGTTCTCCTGGTCAGCACAACTGCCATACTGATCTGGAGCTGTCCCAGAAAGGAGCTTAAATCCTGAACTGACTGAAGCTTGGACCCTACACCTAAACCCTGAACCCCAAACCCATCCCAGGACTTTTCTGGGCGGGGGGCACTCGTTGGTTGAGTTATTGAGTTATTATTGGCACATCAGCAGAAAAAACATGCTCCTTTGGGTAAGGGCGTTTTCTGCCATATCCTAAGCCCGAGACCCCGATGGCCGTAATGCTGCCCTCAATCCTGATCTCGGGGCCCAAAGCCTTAGGGTATCTTAGACAATAATTCGAAAATGGAGCCGTTCAGGCTTCTCAAACCCTAAACCCTAAACCCTCAAACCTGAGCCCTCAACCCTAAACCCTCAACCCTAAACCCTCAAACCTGAGCCTTCAACCTAAACCCTAAGCCCTCAACCCTAAACCCTCAACCCTAAACCCTAAGTCCTCAGACCTGAGCCTTCAACCCTAAACCCTGAAAGAAAAAGTCGCATGATTTTTCGCATAACCGGAGGCCCGGCAAGCACACCGGGAGGATGCCATGGCGGACTGGAGGAGACCAAACAAAGGGGCCTTGGGGTCTATATAAATTCTATATAATATAGTACTTAGAAGGGGCCCCCACCCTGTAATAGTGACTATAAGGATTAGATTAGGGCCGTATTATATTCCTATTCTACCACTATTACAGGGTGGGGGCCCCTTCTAATATAGTACCCTAAACTGTGGGATCCTTATTGTAAGGACACCAAATAAGGTACCCCTATTCCCAAATAAGAGTCCTTAAAGAAGGGATCCTGAATCCTAGCTACCTTCATCCCACTTTTGAGGCTTCCGGCAAATTCAGATTCGCATCCTAGGGCCCCGCTCGACCCCAATACCCTTCGACCCTACTTAAAGGGTTTAGGGTTCAGGGCCAAGAAGGGCCTGGGGGTGTGGAGGGTGGGTGTTGAGGGCGCAGGGTCTAGGAATTCTGGAGATTTTTGAGGATCAGGCTATTTAGGGTGTAGTTTTTGGGCTGATTCAGGATGTTTTCCCGTGTTCGATGCCGAAGCCTTAATTAGATTTACCCTTGCAGGCCCTGGAAGTGCGCAGCCGCGTCGCAGAATTCATTATTTGCAATGTTCAAAGTCTGAGCCACTCGCGTCGAGCTAGGGTGCTCTCAGAGGGTCAAGGTCCATTCCGTGTAGAGATTTAGAATTTAGAGGTTCCTGGATTCCTACAAGTAGGTTAAGTCGGGCTAGAACTAACCCGAGCCAGGTCTCTAAGTATTTAAGTATCCTGGCTCCAGAAGAATCTGACATCTCGCTGCCAGGAAGCACACATTCAAGCCCGACATCTCAATGAGTCAGGCTCAGCGGCGACAAAGTTTGGGCCTCTTGTCAAGGGTTTCAGGTTAAGTTACCACAATCGGGATCTATAGTAAATAAATATGGTAACTTTACCCCATCACCCGGAAGTTTGGGCTTTCTACAAGACTGGATGTGAAGCTGCCTCCGACTCGCATCGCTCCCAGTGGGCTTCAGAAGAGCCATCCGGTTGGTGAGAGAAATCCTGCATTACCTTAAGGACCCTAAACTATGGGAATTATTGTATATTCCTTATTATGGGTAATGCAGGATTTATATCATCAACCGTCCTAATCGGAAGGCGACTGGCCCGCAAATTGCCGGCTCCTCAGACGGTGCAGGAGAGTAAGCTGGCCTCGACTGCTCTTCGCGCGAGCTGGTCCAGCTTTTTGCTTTTGAGCAGATGCCTGTACGAAGCAATAGCCAGCTGTGACGTCTGTATTGCAGTCGAAATTGATCCACGCTATACGATGAATCAGTATGGCTCTCATGACGGCAGTCGCCCCGCCCTCTCCAGATTGTCGAGCCCATGGGTGGTGGTGTCGGGTGGTCGTCATGGTCAACCGAGCAAGACTAAAACTAGCCGCGGCACGAGCACCAACCGGAAACGGAGGCTCGATCCGGCAACTTCCTCGACCAGCTGGAGACTGGCCGGGTCCTCGGCAAGGGCGGGGTATCAGCATGAACGAACCGAGATCCTGTAGAGGGAGACAGTTCTTGATCGTCGTCTTCGTCCCCCTCTCCAGGCTTGGATTTTCATGGTCATGCATGTTTGCGATTTAGGATCCGTGGCTACCTGGATCTGTCACCAGTGCTTCCAGCCTTGCGAAATCCTGCCAATGGCCCTTGCGACTGCTGGTAAGCATTAATTAAATATTATTGTAAAAAAGTACGAGTTACTAATATGATACTGGTATACTGTATTTTGTTTTGCCTAATATCGTATAGTGTATTACCTCGTAGGCCTTCTCTGATATAGTACTTTGAATCATTCTGAGAGAATTGGCTGAGGCCGTTCCGATGAGGTCCAGCACCCAGACTCATCCATTTACACGGGCGGCCCTCTTTGGGCTAGGGTCGCCTTGCAAGGGCTTATAAACAGTACCCTAAACCCTAAACCCTAAACCCTAAACCCTAATCCCTATAAACCCTCAACCCTAAACCCTAAAAAACCCTAAATGCTTATCGCCTGTGTGGTCATTGGTACCGGGATCCCTTGCGGTGGGCCCTGGTCTTTGAGCTCTCGCACTCAAGCGTGTCTGTTTCAATTCACGCGAAGCCATCATCAGAGACGCACTTGGAGGTTCACGGGTAGTTACAAGTGGGGCTACAAGTACCCGAATATGGGTTATAACTCCAGTTCCCCTACTTATAACCCTACTTATAACTACCCCTAATATGGGTTGAAACTACAGCTACCCTACTGTACTTGTAACCTACTTATAAGTCCACTTATAACTACCCTTGAACCTCCAAGCAAGAGCCCAGGAGCTGAATCGAGTTTCGGACTTAGAGTCTCCTAAACGGGTAGTTGTCAAGGTTAGGGTCCCCTTTTGGGGGTACCCTACTTGGAGGATCATGGGACTTAGTAAGTAGGGTTATAAGTACCTTAAGTGGGGTTATAAGTATACTTACCCTAATTATAACCCCAGTTACTAGGTCCCATGATCCTTTGAGTAAATAATAGGGTGCCGTATTATATTAGGGACCCCCAAAAAGGGACCATAATTTTGACAACCACCCAAATTTCAAGACCCCCCAGCCCTAAATGGCCCTAAACCCGGAACCCAAATCCCAGAATCCTTTGACCCGAACTCTGAACTCTACGCCGATACCCCGATGCCCAAACCTCAAACTCAAACCCTACTTGGAGGTTCATGGGTAGTTATATACTCGGGGACTTCTAGCTCCACTTGTAGCTACCCATGAACCTCCAAGTACACCCTAGCCCAAAGAGCTCTTTTGCACAGGATGGTGGCGATCTGCAGACCTTCACGATCTCTGGCAGACCTACTGTCCCTATCCGAACCAGCACGCATCCGGCCGGGGCCCTCTTTGGTTTAGGGTTGGGCAGTTTAGGGTTTTGAGTTTCAAGATTTAGGTTTTGGGGTGATCCTCATCTGAAGTGGTTTGGTTTTGGGGCTTTGGGCTCTCTTGGAGATGTCGTGTTCTCGGGCTACTCTGGAGTCGGAGGGCTGGGGATTCAGGTTCGAGGATCGGGCGCTGTGTACCGCCCCATCAGTCGCAAGACCGTTTCTGTATAGGTCCGCGGAAGCATGAAAGCCTAAACCCCTGCACAGCTTTTGGTGCCTCCTACATAGCAAGGCGTATAGTAACCCATCGTAACCCTTGTCTTGTGGTAACCCTAATTTACCCAAGCACAATACTACGGTTGATGATAATCCTGCATTACCCATAACAAGGAATATACCATAATTCCCATCATAGTCTAGGGTCCTTAAGGTTATGCAGGATGTACATCATCAACCTAAACTCTAAATCCCTACACTTCTAGATCCCTTTAAAGAAATCAGGAATGATATCATCAAGCCCTAAACCCTAAACTCTAAAAACTAAACCCTGGATTTATATCATCAACTGTAGTGCTAGGATGTGCGAGTCTGAGGCCTTTGATCAGGAGCTCTCCGACGAGGAGGACTACAAAGTCATGCAGGCCGGAAGATGCCAAGAGGCGACTTCCTCTAAGGGAGCCCTTAAAGGAGTCCCTAAAGGAGCCTTCAAGGGAGCCCTTAACGGAGCTCCGGTTCTACGAGAGCTCTAAGGTTGTTGTGGGTCTGGGCTTCAAGATCAGAGGTTTTGCGTTGCATGCTTAAGGTTCAAGTTTCAAGCCTCCTGGTGTTCGAGGCCTAGCTGCCTTCTCTGCCGTCAGTCTTGACATGCCTGGTTCCATCGGCGGTGGGTATGATATGCACTCCTTGGAGTTCCGTGCTGGGAAGCCTAAAACGAACCGTCATATCAAATACGCACATGCGTGCACAGCTGTTTAGCTGAGCTCAGCTTACTCTGCCTCCGCTTGCCACCCCAGCAAGCTGGGCTCGTGAAGACATAAAGGGTTTATGCTTTCGGGTCCCGCCATGTATGGAGACAGCAAGGAAGCACCCAAGTTTCCGCATGTAGTTCACCAAGAGAAGGAGTTATCCAACAGATAGCGTCGGCGTCGGTGCAATGTCGGTAAGGTGCTTTGGCAGGATGCACTCTCGCGGCAGAGCGGTTGCCAGGATGAAAGTCAGCATATCCCAGACCTTGAGTATGCTGACTGTGCTGCTGGTATGTTGCCTGCATGTCTGTCAGGATTGCCTGTCAATCAGGCGACAGCAAAACTTGAAATTACTTCGAGAGCGCGAGGGCATGGCATTGACGTCAAAACACAAGTTTGTACCTTTAAGCCCAAGAGGAGCACGTGCTGTGTCTCAAATCTCCGAAGCGGGAGAACGAGGTGATTGGCATCAAGCGCGTCATGTGTATTCGGCATACTCTGGTGCTGAGATCCCAGTCTTCAGTGCCGCCATGCATGCAGCTATACGGTGTGACCAGTACAAGCAAGGTGCTCTCATCTACAGCAAACTTTGCAGCCTAAACATAAACAGGACCGCTCCGGCCTTCACAAGTGCTCTCACGATTCACTCAAAGTTGGGAAACAAGGATGCTGTTCGTGAGATTTGGACAGATGCCATGCGAGAGTGCGATCTCGATGCGGCACTTGCTGCAGCTCGCATTTCCGCAGCTGCTGCAGAGGGAGATGTTCAAACAGCAGCTACGGTTTTGGATCAGATGAACGTGAGAGGCGTGGCAATAGACGTTGGCCACTTATCCGCTGCTATTCGAGCTTGCTGGGAGGCAGAAGGAAGTCACCACAATGCAGCAAAGTATCTGTTCAATTTGCACAAGGAACTTCACCTGCAGCCGAATGTCATTACATTTGCATGTCTGATCGGAGCTTATATGACTGCTCCACTGGAAGAAGTATTGGTCGCCTACACTGAAATGAAGGAGTTGGGCATTTTGCCAAACACTGTTTTCGCTGAGTCATATCTGGTGACCGTTCTTCGCAAGCCCAAAAAGGCACCCTGGGACGAGGATGAGATGCTTGATGCGCTACACACGCGCTCGCCGGAACGCATCGCCGCTGCGAGGCAGGCCATCGACGACTTCAAGGCTGAAGGAGTCTCCCTGTCCACCCTGAGCTCGCGCATCCATCGAGTCCTGCAGAAGCTTTAAGTTGCACAGTTATGTAGATGGTATGCACGACCGGCCATATGAAGCAAATCGCAGCTGCTGGATTCGGGCGGCACTTCGGACTGCAGCCTTTGCAACGCAGATGCCAGCATCAAAAGCTAAGCTGCAGAGAGAATCTTAGTATGTTTTGCACGAGAGACTCTTGCAAGTTTCAACTACATCGATCTGTTGAACTGTAGCATGTCTAGACTACGTGCCACCAAGGTTTTGGGAAGGAAAGCCGGCCGTAGAGACTTGAAGCCTTGATAGCAGAACGGACCCAGTGCTTTGCTTAAGGGCTTCATGCAAGTCTTTGTTCCAGAGATCATGTAGGATCATCGATGGCACAAAAATCCTGTGCCAAACCATGGTGAGTCCTAGTAGAAACTTCGAACCCCTTCGTGAAGACGCGCTGTGAAGGATTCGAACTTCGAGAGCCCGAGCAAGGACATGTCCAGCATCGAGGCATGCTCAAGTTGGAGGTTCTTCATATAGGGGCCTGAATAAATAGAATAGGGTTTTGGGGGGTATGTTTCCTTTATCTATAACAAGGAACCCCCAAAATAGTACAGGTAATTATTCAGGCCCTTACATAAGGTCTTCTATGCCTTGCGAGAAATATCCGCGTGCGGTGGTGGTTCAGACGGGACATGCTAATTCCAGGCCCAGGACACGGGTGTCGCCTTGCACGCGACAGTCTAAGTACATGAGTCGTTTGTGTGAGCCAGACTGCATTCATATGCAGTTCCACCCAAAGTAGTGTAGCTCAAACTTGGCAAAAAAGACTCGAACCTCGAAGTCCTGGGGCTTTGTCGCTCCTTTTGCCGAACATCGCCATATCTCAGGTGCAGCACGAAACCAGGCAGGCGAAGTGGTTAGGCGAACCAACAATCAAAAGCATGACCGGCCCCATTCATCTTAGGTCTACAATCCCGAAGAACATGGTCCACGCTCTGAGCCAACTTTGGAATCCCTCCTGGATTACCATGTTGTATTATGTTATGTTGCATTATAGAAATATTCACAACTGTATTATGTTGTATTGTATTATCTCCCAAAGAGCTCGGAAGGCAACCAGCCCGATCGAGCAGGCCTGCGCAGTCCTAAAATGCTCCCAAGGAGACAGGAGCGGGGTCATTGATTAATGGAAGCCCTGATCAAAATCACAGTCCTCGGATTTGGCATAGAGTCTTGGGCATTTCGCGTTGTTGGGGACTTCGTGGTTTGCCCTGACCGCTGAGAAAATTCGCGTGATGATGAGGGAAGGAGGCGGTGACCAGTCGTAGTAGTAGTCGTTGTCGTAAACATCGTGGTTCCAATACTGCTGAGACTCGTGCTAATCGGAGCAGCAAGCAAAGTATGATGATGATGGTGATGATGATAGTGACAATGATGATGATGTTGATGATGATGATGATGGTGCTGGTGTTGTTGATACTGGTGATGTCGGTGACGAGCATGATATGGAAGCTTCATTCCATAATACAAAATCCAAATAGAAGGATCCTTCTTTCGCGGACCCCTAACGTTCTATGCATGGATAGCCCCAATCTGAAGAATCCGTCGTCGGCAGGCGTCGAGCTACAAACTGCACCCAGCTGCGGCTGCCCAGCAGGCATGTCAGTGCACTTCATGCGTGCTGGGTTAGGGATGTGGGATTAGGCGCCAGAATGTCGCTGTCGAAGTCATTTGCTAGCCAGATGGGCAGCAAAACAAGTGCCTGGAAGAAGCTGCTTTTGTGGCTCTGCGGAACCTTTTGAGGACTCTTTTCAGCTTGTTTGTTCTGCCACCCTGACGTGCACCCAAGAAACCCCGATCCCCACAGTGCCAGGAATGTCCCAGGCATAGCAAGGCTTGAGTTCAGCGTGTCGTAATGGTCGAGTTGGTCCTGGTCGCTGTGCTTTTTCCTGTCTGGGAACCTGCGCTGGCATAACATGTACAGATACACCTACAAACGCATAGCATACATTGATTTGTGTATACACACATAACATAGATACATATGTGTGTCTGTCATGTATACACACACACATATAAACATAAATATAAATATAAATATATATATATATATATATATATATATCTACGCACATGTATATATATATATATACACACTGCCGCATTATATATACACACACAGATGTATACCGCATCATGTTGTTACCGTATGTGGGAGTAGTGGAGCAGGAATCGTCGTTGCACATACTGCAGTACTGGCATTTGTCTGCTGCGAGCCCATGTTGAAAATTTGCAGGCTTTGGGCGCAGCTTGAATCCTACGGGGACCGTGAAACCTCGCATTTGTACCCTCAAAGCCCATGTTGGATCTTTGCAGGATTTAGCGCAGCTTGAATCCTATCGGGTCCTTGAAAGGTAGACAGAGATTGGAAGTTAGGCGCCCACCAAGGATCTCTATCAGTTCATCCACACAGCGTGCTGCCATGACACATCTCAGCGCCCCAGGCTGCCAAAGAGGAGGAGGACCACTATGACTATGAGCAGCCAGCTCTGCTACTTGGCTTCACTACTCGGCAGGTCAGGCGGGTTCGGTTTCGGATTGTTGGAGGGGCGAGGACGGATTTGGGAACTTTGAGGCATCTTGCCTAACGCCTGGCTGTTGGGTTGACCATCGCCACCATGATAGGGTCAGAATGATGGCGACACAAAAAACGCAGGAGAGCTACCACTGCTATTGCGAAATGGTGCTGACAAGGACAAGGCTAGCTACTACGACGGGGCGAACTACAGCAGCACTGTGAAATGTCATCGCGAAAAGAAGAACAACCGTGACCAGGCATGCTGAAAGACGAGTCGAAAAGCGAGCAGGTGGCCTAACCATGTACTCGTCGCAAACTGAGAAGTAGTAGACTAGAAGACAAGAAGCCTCAGAAACATGGCTGCAGACAATGCATGCGGACAGAGGAGAAGTGCAGGCCGGACCATGCTCATGTGGTCAAGCACCTGCGTGTTCCCGAGCGTATGGAAAACATACCTTCACGCCTGTGCGTAGTCTCTTACCCACAGGCAGATACACAAACGGCTTTGACAGCTGTCCCAGAAGCCAGTCTATACCTTAACCAATCAGTCAAGCTGTTCAGATGCCATACAAAGGGTCATGCATGCACATGCAAGTAAGCGTGCTGCGAGACATCTAGCTGAACATTTGCATGCGTGCTTCATGTAGTGTGTTCGCTTCTAGATTCTGAACAGGGCGTGCACACTGGGCTGATGGCCTTCGTCTTATGTGTTTTATTCCCGAAGTATTTTCAGAAACAAAGCGAGCCTTACTGCACTTGCATAGGAACACGTTGCAGGCACACACACACACACACAAAAATGTGTGTATGAATGTATGTATGTATGCATGCATGCAAATTAGTTTGCCAATGTCTAAGATCTCCAGCCAACCTTCGGACATCTTAACTGAAAATCGTCTGCACGCACGCATACGAGCTCATGATAAGACGAGCATGCGAAGAAGAAGAAGAAGCAGGGGGAGAGAGAGAGAGAGAGAGAGAGAGAGAGAGAATTGCAAGGAGAGCAGAGGAGAGCCAACGCAGGCTCCAAAGCCCTCTGCCCAGGTCAGCCGAACCGGAGCTGCCTGAGACGCAAGACATCGGCCAGCCCCAGGAAGCAGAGGAGATGAGGGTTTGGGGTTTTAGGGTTTTGGGTTTTGGATCGTGCTTTCTTGCCGTCAGCGTTGTAGAACAAGGGTTGTTTTGTTTTTGTTCGCTTGGGCACGCCGCAGACCGGTGCAGCTGGCAGAGATGAAGCGGGCACTGCAGTAGTTGGATAGCAGAAAACCGCAGTATTGCGGTGTCTAGACTCTAGACATGAACCGCTGTAGGAGATGCCGTCTTTTCAACAATCAAAAGCGGAAGGAAACTATTTGCGCAGACACGTTGGTGCACAGCTCATGTAGCGAAATGTAAGCAAGTGAACTAGTCCGGCAAGTCTGACTTGAGTTGAACACGTTCACGACGTACTGGACGGATGTGAGCTTTCCACTACTAGCCAGTATGCCTCTGCCCCCGCTAAAGAGGTGGAGTCCACGTCCGCGGTTTTCGGACCCTTTGAAGACTTCAGGTTTGCCAGAGCTTATGTCAGAGGCCTCCCATCTCCTTTTAAGGTTTTGATCGCTCCGTTTGATCGCAAAACGGAGGAGCAGCCGCCTGCAGCTGCGGATGTGCGGTGCTTACATGATGGGGGCCTTAATGATTACCTTTCCTATTCTGGGGGGCTCCTTATTACAAGTGTAGTAGAATGGGCCCCCAAAGGCCCTTGTATTACATCATGTGGCAGGGTCGCCAAGGCTAAAGCCCTCGACGAGGAGGTAAAGCGAAGAGAGGAACAAGACGCCTGTGAGTCTCGGGCACTGCTCCTGCGGCGGAAGAGCGACATGGGAACTTCCGAAAACAAGGGATTCCTTCGCAGGATCGTTATATCAAGAAGTGGATCCACTGCAAGCTTTGCAATAGTTCCGTCGCCGGCACACTCTTTGAGGTGGATGCTGCCGCCTCTTCTGAAGGCAAAGCGCAGCCAGCCGAAGAGGAAACCTACGACATGCCGGCCCGGGTCCCAAGCGGGTACTTGTGGCGGCTGTTGATGCTAGAATGCAGGGCCAACACGTCCAACTTGGAGCAAGAACAGCAGAACAGTTTTCGAACGCTTCGGCCGTCTCAGACGCGTGTTCGTGGCTTTGGAACCCAGGCCGCGGACAAGCTCTCTGAGGTGTGCAAGGATCTGAGAGCCCTCGCCCTAGTTTGCCGGAGTCTGTTTCCCAAATCTCCGGTGTTGTGACTGGTTGGAATTCATTCCTGGCAGCCAAGTCGTCCAGTCGGCCCGAGCTGAGGTGACATCTACAGAAAGAATTTAGAGTGGATGGGTTTTCTTTCATCTAGTGTGCGTGTGCGTCTGTTTTTGCACGGAAAGACCAACTGACCAACCCCTTCAATCGACGAAGGCCGAAGCAGAGAAGACAGACGCAGCTGCGTCCACCACTGGAGCGCAGTCGTCCTTGCACAGTTGAGTCCGGATCTGTGAGGGCTATGTTCGTGCTGCTTTTGCAAGTGCTGTCAGACTGTACCTGCAAAGCGCATGTCCGTGGAGGGACTTGAAGCAAACGGAGGGCTAAACGGCTAAACCCTAAACTTTGAAGTGCTAAACCACCCGTCGGAACCCGAGAAGGACCTAGAACCCTGCTCCTCGTAGGGATGTTACCCTAAACGGTCTACATAGGTTTAGTCCCTCCATGAATGACTTCCATGCTCCTCTGTCTGGTGCTTAGTAGGGAATGGGGGAAATGGATTTTTATAGTAGTCCCTATATAATCCCCAGAGTCTACATAATCCGTTCCCCCATTCCCTACTAAGAACCAGAGAGCCTACTAAGAACCGTAAACCCCTATAGTACTACCCTTATAAAGCCCTTAAAGGAACCCTTAAAGGAACCCTCAAAAGGAACCCTCAAAAGGAACCCTTGAAGGAACCCTTAAAGGAACCCTCAAAAGGAACCCTATTCCCTACTAAGAACTAGACAGTCTTCCCCCCCCGTTGCCAGGCCTTCGGACTTGGACTACCGGACACCGGACATGCTCGGATGCCGAGAGATGGGCAGCCGACATACTATAGGGCTTTAATAATATATATATATATATATATATATATATACATACATACTATTTTGGGGGTTCCATATTATACTCATAGTATAAGGGGCCCCAAAACTCTATTCTAATCATTAAGGCCCCTATATTAGTCGGAATAGGGTCCCGGGGTCCGGTGTTATACACTTACCTTTAGGCTCCATTGTAGTTCCTTTTTGTGGTGTAGATTTAGGGTCCTACAATGTAATGGAGCCTATGAGGGCCTATGGGTAATGATTAAGTGTCCCTTTACAACGACTTGGGAAGTTCGAGGCCAAGGGTTTCTGGGTGCACTACATGTTCCCAAGATGATACTCGTGTTCAAGGCTGGAGCCACGTGCTTGAGTGCCGAGCTACCCATTCATCTATATGCCGGTGCCTATATCCAGGTCTGGATCTGTAGCGATCTCTGTGTTTCTGTGAATTTCTGTTGACCCCCCTGCCTCTCCCTGTCCCTCGCCCTCTCCCTCTTCCTTTCCCTCTCCCTCTCCTCCGCCCTCCCTCCCTCCCTCTCTCGGTTGTCTGTCCCTCTCTCTCGCTCTCTGTCCAGTTTTTGTTGCTTACTCATGTGTCTATACGATGTATCATGTCCTTGCCCACTTCTGTACCGAGATGATGATGGAGGTGATGGTGAAGACGAGGATGAAGACGATGTCCACAACGATGACGAGGTGATCGTGCTGACGGTGACGACTGTGATGGCGATGATGTTTTCATCCGTATGATTTGCAGACAGGGATAAAGCCGTTTCCTGTCTCACGATAGCACCCTCTCATGATATTGGCCTGAAGCTGACGTTTCTCCTAGGGTTTTGCTGGATCGCATCTCGAAGCGAAGTTAATCCAGAGTCCAAGCCCAACGAACCTGAACCGTGCGATTTGCACACCGATGTGGCTTGTGTACATGGTGCATGTTAATGTTAGTAGTATTCGCGTATATGTTTTTCGCAGATTCCTTTAATGGCACATGTGCAGCAACTTTGTGTGCAGACGTATGTGTATCTTGTAGCTCCACTTGTGTACATGGACGGATGGATGGATGGACGGACGGAGGGATGGATGGATGGACGGACGGACGGACGGAGGGATGAATGGATGGACGGAGGGATGGATGGATGGATGGATGGATGGATGGATGGGATGGCCGGAGAGTCACAGGGAAGGATGCATGAATGTATGCAGGTATGTATGCATGTATCTTCTTATGAATGTATGGATGTACGAATGTATCCAGGACAGGTATACATGCACACATGCGTTATGCCGGTGCCAAGGTACCTGAACCCACAGGGCCCGGAGCCCCCGTCGGGGCAAGCCTCGCGCCAGACCTCCCGAGACATGCAGCGGCAGACTCAGTCGCATCCTTGCTCTCCGATAATGATAATCACAATGATAAATATTAGTTGCAATAATAAGAACAGTTACAATAATAAGCACAGTTACAATAATAAGAACAGTTACAAGAGTAAGCACAGTTACAATAATAACAACAGTTACAAGAATAATGGAATATTCTGAAGAGGTCCATATGTAGGAGCGAACATATCTGACAGGCCGGTGCGGCGGCAGTGGGTTCAGACCCAGCCGTCCGGGCCCCGGTCACAGTCCAGAAGCAGGATTTGCAGCAGGACACCAACGTCCTATAGGGGCCTCAATCATCACCTATACTATTTTGGTGGTTGTTCCTTATTATACCTTCCGTATAATGGGCCCCAAAACCAACCCGATTCTAATTGTGGCACTTTCTGCACTCCGTGCTGCATGAATGATGGGTCAGGCAATTGCCGAGCGCTGCAGCGGCAGCAGCTGCTGCGGCCACTGCCACGGCCCCAGAGCGAATCGAGCCGTTAGATCGCCCCAGCTCCAGCCCTCAACCCCGACAGCCCTAAAGCCCTAAAATTTAAAGCCCTGAAAACCTAAACCCCTAAACCCCCGAAGCCCTAAATCCTAAAAAAGCTCTAGCACGAAAAAGTGAGGCCGTGCGACAGACTTCTCCTGACATGAAGACCTCCCCCGAGCTGCCTGTCTCGGTGTCTCGTCAGGCACGGGCTGCCAGAGACTTGACCACAACAGGGCCTGAATAATTACTACTACTACTACTACTACCACTACCACTACTACTACTACTACTACTACTACTACTACTACTACTACTACTACTACTACTACTACTACTACTACTACTACTACTACTACTACTACTACTACTACTACTACTACTACTACTACTACTACTACTACTACTACTACTACTACTACTACTACTACTACTACTACTACTACTACTACTACTACTACTACTACTACTACTACTACTACTATTTTTTGGGGTTCCTTTTTATAAGTATAGTATACTGGGCGGCAAAGCCGTATTCTAGTTATTGAGGCCCGTATATTTAGTTCTTGTGTGAGGTGCTTCCTACATGATCCTAGAGATGGTTTCGGCGGCTTGAAGATGCAGCAAACCTGAGGTTCATGGGTTTAGGCAGATGGCAGCTATGTAGCAGCGGGTATCCAGGAAAGGAAGCCTCCAGCCTGGTTTAATCGGATTCAAGGGGCCTAATTAGAACTGGGGAAATATCCGTGTCATTCTTCTCCTTAGTGTTCAAGCATTATTTTCTTCGTCTAACTGTTTAAGTAATGTGTTCTTCTTGTTATTGTTTATGTAATGTTTTCTTCTCACTATTGTTTATTATTGCTCTGTGTTATGTCCCAAACGAGCCTTTCTGAATTTCAGATGCTCGGGCTTGCGCACTCGGCAAGCGGAGATTGGGAAGATCGGGCCCTGGTATGTCGGGGCAAAGCCCAGAACCCAGAACCCCAAACACCCTAAACCCAAAACCCTAAACCCCTAAACCCTAAACAGCTAAAGAAGGAAAAGCCGACCCCAAAAGACGCCCTACTCGAAGACTCAAAGATGAGTGGCCATCGACTGCCAGGACTCGGCATACTCCGCGAGCAGGGAGCTAAGCTCTGATCCCCGGGGACTTACTTTTGGTTAGCAGGGAATGGAAGAATGGCCATAATAATAGTAGCTATAATCATAGTAGCTATAATAATAGTAGTTATAATTCTACCCCATTCCACCATTCCCTACTAACCAAATGTAAGGAGATCCTACGCTCGAGCACCGGCTGCGCTCTAGTCGCACAGCATGGCTTCGCAATCTCAGTAGGAATGGACCAGACCGACGAGAACAAGAAGAGCAACGATACCTGTAACAAAAGCAACAGGCAAAGCAGTACAGCAACGCCAGCAACAGCCATAGCAAACACAATGCCATCAGCAGCAGCAGCAGCAGCAGCAGCAGCGGCTGCCAGAGCAACAAGCAGCAATAGCAAATAATACCCACGACGATGGCAACTGTGACTAGGACGCTGACAACAAGCTGTCCTGCTAGTATGATCATGCAAAAAAGTGTCCTCATGTTGTTTTGGCAGCAGCATCTGAAGGCAGTACGTACATACAGTATGCTAGTAGTGCAATGCATAATCCAGATAGGCACATTCCACTATAACTGATAGATACACAAGTCTCCACGTCGGAAACCTTCAACCTCTAAACCACCCAGAACCGGTACTCATCTCTCTCGGCTAGGCGGCTACAGCCAGTCGAATTCTCCTTCCGTGCCCTACCGGCATTTTTCCGGGCTGCAGCCTCAGAGGGCTTGGTTTGTCTGAGAGGTGTAATGCAATACTGTTCTGGGGCCTCCCTATTTTAATTATAGTTGAATGGGCCCCAAAAGCCTTTTTAAATGATTAAAGCGGCTATATTGGAGTGTAGATTGCCAGGCTGAATCTTTTCCTTGAAGCGCTGCCCTATTCTAGAAGCCTTCTACTGTCCTGTACCTTTAAAGGGAACCCTAGTGTGGAGCCCTACCTTTCACCCGTAAGGGTTCTTGGATGTTTCAGATGTGGGAGATTCCGAAAATAGGGGACCCTAATATAATACCTTGAATAGTAGGATCCTTATTATCAGGACCCCAAAATAAGGTACCCCTACATTCGGAAACCCCCATGTTGACTTTGCGGACTAAGCTTGATTCAGACGAAGCACAAGCCTGAGTTTGGTATATTGCAAGTTAGCTTAGGAAGCAGTGAGGCAAGGCTGCATCTTCCATACGTATGTATGTACATATGTGTAACCTGTATATATATATATACACACATTATATGGTCTACTTGGATAGTATGCTGTTCATGCGTCTGCACATCTCTTCTTATGTGCAGTAAACATGTAGATTCACTGCCTTTCGACTTTAAGCTTGTCCAGCCCTCAAGCATTTAAACATCCAACAAGTACAAAAAACTGAAGCATAATCGTGAGACAGCGCTGTCGCCCACGACGGACATAATGTTGAACATGCCGGAAGCGATCTCCCGCCAACTCTGCGTTGACCTTTTTGGATTGGTTTCTCCCTCTGCCTGTCACTGGGGTAGGTTCCTTGCTGCACGCCGACCGCCGACATCCGACGCTACCCGGTGCCACAGAGCATCGGCAATCCTAAACCCCAGAAGATCCGAACCTCCCCTGAACCCGCAAACCCCTCACCTCCACGCGACAAAAAAGCGCGGTAAGAGCACATTGAAAAGTCTTAAACCACTCCTTATTTTTATTAGGCTTCTTCAAAACCCTGCAAGTCTTGGCTACTGTTGCGCTGCCCAGGCGCATCCTGACTCCCCGAGAATCGTCAGGCCTTGGGGGAGCTAACACGGAAAAAACTTGTGGGTGTCCCTGATGTATCCTCGGTCTTCTGTTCATTCGCAATTGTTGCTATTGCTGAAGCCTGGGTAGTTATTCGCAGGCAGAAGTGTCAAGGCAGATGTTCTTGACGGTCTCCTGTATGCTTGCTTGACCTTACTTGCGTTGTGTGCATGCATGCACGCTGTGCCCTGCAGGCAACATATCCGTGGTGTCGAATGGCAGGCCAGATGCAGATGGTTGGGCGCAAGACCCCTACCGTATTCTAGAATGTCGTAACGCTGGGCCAGTGAAGAGTCTTGGCATAGTGCCACAGTGTGCCTCGCGAACTTTCATCCTGTGCCTCCTCCTTGGTGACAAGAACCTATCTGGGCCATGTTGCCCAGCATAGAACCGCAAGCCGGAAAAAGAAACAGCACCAGCGGTAGCGGCAGCAGAAGCGCTTGTTGCACAAGCAGCGAGCATACCGTACAGCGGTTCGAAAAGGATGCAACCCGGTGCTAATCATCAGGCACTCCTCCTCCGCCTCCGCCTCCTCCTACCATCCTAGCAGGTCCTAGCATTGCTTCTACTTGGCTTCTACTTGTGCAGCTCATGTTCATGTAGGAACCTGATTAAGAAACCCTGGCCCTATAACCCCCATATATTGGGATTCATATGTAAGGAACCCCAATAAAGGCCCAAGGTTCCTTAATCAGGTTCCTACATCATTCTAGTACCCTTATAGATACCTTATAGTAACCCTTATAGACCCCTTTAAAGGAACCCTAATACAGGCCCACGGTTCCTACATTAGTGCCCGCGAAGGCCTGGCAACTTCAGCCCCCGCACGGCCTTCATCGGCACGGCAGGCCTGGGTCCCCTACTTGGAGGATCAGGGGACTTACTAAATAGGCGGGTTATAAGTACCTTAATTGGGGTTATAAGTAAGTATTAGTATAGTTACTTTCTTAATAACCCTAGTTCCTAAGTCCCCTGATCCTTTAAGTAAGCCCTAAACCCACGCTGTTCGGCTGACCTTCCGTCGCCACTGCTACGGGGGCTTCGGCATGATGGCGCATGAGCATCGTGCTAGCAGGTCAGCCTACTTCCATTCCGGTGTCTCAGCCCCCGGGCCTTGACCTCAAACCGGTGGCAACACGGGCAAAGTGACACTACGGTTGATGATATAACTCCTGCATAACTCATAATAAGGAATATATACCATAATTCCCATCGTTTAGGGTCCTTAAATTAATGCAGGATTTCTATCATCAGCCGTATGCCCTCTTGATGTTACCCAGTCACGCAACATTTGAGGCATTTGCTTCCATGTAAGCTCTTGGCAGTTTGGCGACTTCATGTTCACAAGGACGCTGGCTCGTAAACCGAGGCGATGTTCTGTGACGAAGAGGTGCTCATAAATATATATATATATACATATGTTTATGTATATATGTATATGTATATGTATATGTATATGTACATGTGTATGTATATGTGTATGTGTATGTGTATGTGTATGTATATGTATATGTATATGTATATGTATATGTATATGTATATGTATATGTATATGTATATTTATATGTATATGTATATGTATATGTATATGTATATGTATATGTATATGTATATGTATATGTATAGGTATAGGTATATGTATATGTATATGTATATGTATATGTATATGTATATGTATATGTATATGTATATGTATATGTATATGTATATGTATATGTATATGTATATGTATATGCATATGTATATGTATATGTATATGTATATGTATATGTACATACATACATACATACATACCGGGTGTTACTACAGCTTCGCCTGTCGCCTGCAAGAATCGCCGAGGCTTCGTCGCTTCCCAGCCGCAAGTTCAGCCTTCAGGCCTTGCTCCTGAAGCCGGACCTAGGAGCCAAACGCTTTGCAGAGATAGATTTAGTGTTTAGGGTTTAGGGGAGAGTAAACCCTGAACCCTAAAATCCGAAAGGGATCCGATACTACCTGCGAGCTCTGAGTCCTTTTTTTTGTCGAAAAGAGCTCCTGGGAGGTGTCGTCTTCGCGGCCTGGCCTGCCGGCAGCACGCAAGTGCAGGACACGGCTGGAACTGCCTAAACCTTGGGGCTACTTAAGCCTTGGGGCTACTGTGAGGGTTTCTACGAGTGTCCAGTAAGCAAAAGGGCTTCTAATGCACGGCTGGAATTGAGCTCGATCTACCTTAGGGCTTTGAGGGTTCTGGGAGGGTCATTTTCGGGTTCTATAAAGGATATCATGAGGGAAACTATAGGGGTTTTAATTATGTTTGGTTTTTAAGGCTTCTTTTTGAAGACTGCACCAAGAGTGCCATGGTTCGCAAGCACCTGAATGACGGCCTCATGTGCGAGGCCTGAATGCACTGGCAGCGATATCATAATATCCCTTACCAGTAGGGTTCTTTCTTATCAGTAAAAGTCGAATCATGCGAAGTGATACTGGTAGGATGAGTCCCACACCCTAGTCTAATTACACTGGCCCCTTTATGATAGATTGGCAGTGGGAGTAACAGGGTACACTGCTGACGGACATGCACGGTAGAAAGAAAGTAGAGTAATAAGCGCAAGACTGATCATTAATATCGTGACAAAACCGAAGGTGCGAATGATTCCTACGTGATACACATCTAGGACAATCTAGCAATGTTGCTTGAGGTTGACTGAATGCACAGATGAAATTTACGCGATGTAGTTGGTCGCAGTGGCATCAGTGACGATGCTGGTCGGCAATGGTAGGTTTTGAACTAGCAACTGTGCAGAAAACAGACGAGGAAACCGACGACAGCATGAAACGTAAGGACGATGCCTGGAGGTTGTACTATCGGGGCCTCATAAATTACTCATAGTAGTGTCCATGTGGTTCCCGATCATAGTTATACTATGATATACCCCAAGGCCCTAGTCTTCTGGTGAAGGCCTTCTAGCAAGGCAGGGGTCCGATTTCTGGAGGATGCTGCTCCGCAAGCGGCGTCCCCCCCTGAGCAGCCAGTCAGAGTGCAGAGTTGTCAGTGCTTTGCTGAATGCTTTTTCTTTTGGTTTTGGAGTCTTGGTTCTAAAGACGAGCTGTGTAGCTTTGAAGTCTTGACGAGAGTTGCTTGCTGGGTGAGGGCTTTTGACATTAAGGCTTGTTGACGGAGTCATTCCGAGTCCATGATTTCCAGGAGTTGCCAGCCCACTGAAGCACCTCTTCAGGAACTGTACGTTACAAGTTTAGCCTCAATACGAACCTACCATACGTACAGATTCATATGTATATGCATATGTAGAGAGTTGTTTACTGTATATATATATACACATACATACATACACACACACACAACAGTACATATGCGATGCCCACACACACATATATACACATATATATATATATATGCTCACCCCCCCCGTTGACAGACCATGCCCTTGTGATAGTGTATTCTCGTTCGGTGACTAGGCTGAGATATTGTATCTAAACACACCGCACATGACGACAATCTGTAAAGCAAATCCTTTACAGTACATATACCAGGTATACTTTTAACATGCCATGTACTGAGGACGCATGGACCAGACGCGCGACACGTGAGTTATGAGTTTTGTGGTACAAGTGATATAGGATGAGTATGAGCATTAATATTGGTATTAGTATTAGCATCAGCAATAGTATTAGTGTTTACTGTAAGTATATATATATATACATATATATATATATATATATGTGTATATATCGACAGTAGTAAGTATACACTTCGTTTTAGTCTTAGTGTTTGTGCCAGTGTCAATGCCAGTAATAGTACCACTGCTAGTATTAGTATCAGTCTTCATGCTGGGTTTAATATCAGTTAATAATGGCAGAGGTGCTAGTATTGGTATCAAAACCAGAGTTAGTTTCGATATGTTACTATTTTGATAGTTTCGTATATCAGCAGGTTAGTATATCAATACATTGATATGTTCGAGAGGCAACATATTTGTATACGTGCATATTCGTAAGTTTAATACTTTAGTACAACTGATGCATGAGTAAAGTAGTATATTGCTGTATTAATATATTAGTATATTAACATACCAGTATATTCGTACATTAGTGTATTTGTATACTAGTATATGCAATATACGTGTATTGTCTGAAGATTTATAAGCATACCAGTATGTTGTCATATCAGCACACTAACCTGCCATGTCGGTATACTTGCATATTACAGTAGTCGTATACTAGTATAGTAGCATACTAGTATAGTATATTCACACATTAACAAGTAGTGTACTGTTACATTGGTATATGGGTATATGCTTGTCCTAAAGCATCAGTACATGAATGCATTGATACATGTCGGCATTTTAAGATAATGGTATGTGTTCTGGTGTGCATTAGCATATGCACGTGTCTTTTGCAATGGTATTAGTCTTCACATCAATATGAATATGACTATTGGTTTCGTAGGCGTATTAATGTTAATATTCGTATTAGGATTATCCATAGTCGCATTAGCCTTAGTATAAGTGTTAATAACTGTATTAATATGGCATTATCTTGAATATTCAACAAGTTATCAATGTCAGAATTACTATTGGTGACAGCCTTACTGTTAACAGCATAAGAGTATACGCAATTGTATCCGTAGGAGTATCAATACTTATGTAAATCTTGGTGTTGGTATAAACAGTGTGATTGGTATTAGTAATAGTGCTAGTGCTAATATTAAAATGAGTTTGTGTATTCGCATGAACGTTTGTCTTATATTAGCATTACTCCTGATTACATGAAGTACTAACAGATAAATACATGCATGAGCTAATGTATTTGTACTTTTATATAGTGGTATGTATATTTATGTACATTGGTATATGCAGGTGTGTGTTAGTTTTGGTATTAAAATACACTACTACCAATATGGGCATAATTATTGATATGCGTAGGAGTATGAACGTCAGTATTAATCATGATTAGTATTTGTATGGTGCCCATTCGTATTGGCTTAAAAAAGTGTAAATATTAGTGTTAATGCTGGTATTAGCTTGGGCAGTCAGCAAATGATCAATGTCAGCATTAGTATTGGTAATAGTATTCGTAGGAGTACCAATTTAAAAAAAAATATATATATATATATAAACACTGACAATCGTCTAAACAGACCTTGCCTTTGCAAGTGAGTCGTAGTGCATGGTCTGTCATCCGATGGGTCACAATCAGCCCATTGAAAATCAATTCCACAATTTCCAAAATTTACGAAATTTACGAAATTTACGAAATTTACGAAATTTTCAAAATTTCCGAAATTTCCAAAATTTCCAAAATTTCCGAAATTTCCGAAATTTCCAAAATTTCCAAAATTTCCAAAATTTGCGAAATTTCACAAAATTTCCACAATTTCCAAAATTTCCAAACCTAGTCGACAGGATTTTTCCAAAACATAAGGGCGCACTTTTTGGAAATTTCGGAATTTCTGAAATTTCGGACATTTGGGAAATCCGGAAAGTTAGGGGAGAGAAGTTTGGAAATTTTGGATTTTTGGGAAATTTTGGAATTGAGTTTTTGAAAGCTGAGTGCCCCCTCCCCCCGATCACAGACCATGCACTACGACTAAGTTGAAAGGGCATGGTCTGGCAACGGGGGGGGTGACCATATATATATATATATATATATATATATACATATATATGCATATATACACACACATATGATGGTCTCGATCTCGTGAGGTCTCCGGGGCTGCCAGTGCAGAGCCCTCGAGGAGTCGTCTCGCCAGGCCTGAGGATTGGCAGTGCTGCATTATAAGCATATGTAGAATTTTACATGTATGTATACATATATATATATATATGTATGTATGTGTATATATACGTATGCATATATATATATATATATGTATTGAAATTGTGTTTGTATGGTGTCGTCCGTACTTGTGAAACAGCACAGCATCAGCACATGCTATTGGATCTTCGATGTTGTCAGAGCGTGGTATGTAGATCAAGTGTAACTTCGGGGCATTGGGTGTGGCATGAACTTCGGGAAAACATGTGAGAAACAGAACAGATGTCGTGGCAGCTGGTGGTAACATTCGAGTTGACATCACTGTTGATGCGCACCGTTTTCATTACAGCGAAAATCGCAGCAGTTCAGCAGCAGCAGCGGCTGCGGCAGCGGCAGCAGCAGCAGCAATGGTCAGATTGTAGCAAGCATCGCCGGATCTGGTCCTAACATCTAGTAGTTGAATTCCCGAGGTCCGTGAATTAAGGCTGGCAAGTCTCTGCACTGGACGTGTTGCGGAAGTTTGTTCAGGTGCGAGGGCGAGCCTGTGAAGTTTGCTGTCTTTGAAGAGGTAGGGCATTCTTCACAATATTGTCCGTCTCAGATCAGCGAAACCGGCGCCTGAAACATCAATTGGGAGCAGTTACTGATATATATGTATATATGTATATTGTGTATATATATATATATATGTATATGTATGTATATATAAATATACATATATATATATATATACATATAGATGTATCGGAAGCATCTCCGAAGTAGGAAGGCCTGGCGGCTTTGCGGCGACTTGAGAAGTGTTCTCTTGAAGCCTAAGGGCCATAAACCCTTTATGGGAAACTGCTTGAGGAGCCCTTGCGGAACACCCTGAAGATACCCGATCTTTATCCGAACCCGTTAATGAGCCCAGGGTTGTTTGGGATATGCCTGGGGTTTTGAGGCCTCCCGGCGCGGCTACCGGCCAACAGGCGGGACGCACACAGAACCAAGAGACTCCAATACACGTTGATTAAGCAATACACCTCACGTAAGGAGGGATCTTGTCTTGTTTAACTTCAGGTGTTTATTGGCTTTGCTTGTTTGGAGTGTCTGGGAACCTCGCAACAGGTATCGACAGTCCTCCCAGCGCGCCGGAGTCGGGATAGCATGTTAGGTTAGTACAACAGCAGCTGCTTTCGTGGCAGGCAGAAACAACATGACTAGCGCAGCAACCACAGCACTGACAGCAACACGAAACAAGCTCCAGAAGAGTGATTGGGAAGTGGAAAACATGACTGCAATCAGGGATCAGCGCAATGAAGTACAGCACGAGTAGCATTAGGTGTGGCTGATTTGCTCTTGCTTGCTCCGGCTCGTGGCCATCTGCACTTGTTCAACTCCACTCTGACAGGTACATCCCGCAGCCGCAGCAGGTGATAACACCAATTCCGTTTCAAGCGCAGCGGCGGACTTAGCAATCTGACTGGTCTGCAGATTCTTGCAAGTGTGCTCTCTAGTGCTTTCCATGGATGTTGAGGCAACCACATCATCCTACCATGCAGTTTTCCCCGCGCGGAATGTGGCAGGCCGCTTTTTGTTCGATTGCAGCGCCGCATGAACATGCTAAACCCTACACCGTAAACCCTCAACATGTCCTATCGTGCTCTCCTTATCTGTGAGTCAGAACGTTTCAACCCTATAAGCCGCAAAGCTTGAGCAATCCCCGCAGAGATCCTTCTCTCTCTTTCTCTCTCTCTCTCTCTCTCTATATATATATATACACATACACATACACTTACATGTTTGTACTTGTGTTAGCTGTTGGCGTTTACATGTATACCTATGTTGTATATCTCGATGTACATATGCATCTGTATCTCGAATCTGTGTCTTGATGGTTTATGGTTATGCTTCATGTTCATATGTATATATGCATATATGTATACATAATGTACAAACATATGAAATATAGTAGATAATGTAATAAATAGATATATATATATATATATATATATATATATATATATGTGTGTATGCAGGAGCATGCTTGCGACTCAGCTCTCGTGGGGCACTAGCCAGCTTGCCTTGCAGGTCCCCACCATGCCTCAGGTCCTCCGTTGAGGACGTGGCGTTCATGATACGAAGCCTCGATACTGCCTACTTAGAGGATCATGGGACTTAGTAAGTAGGTTATAATTAGGGTTATAAGTCCCCTAAGTGGGGTTATCCTAATTATAACCTACTTATAACCTTACTTACTAAGTCCCATGAGCCTTCAAGTACTCCTAATATAAGGGCCTCAGTAGGGTTTTCGGGGTATACTGGAGTATCAGCATGACTAGGAACCCTAACATAGTATTCGAAGTGAAGGTGTCGCTGTTGCAGCACTTTCAGTCTTCTGTGCGGTGTCCTGCGCAGCATCGTTTCAGAGGCGGCGGCATGTTTGATGCAAGTGTGTGTGGCAGGAGATGTGGAGGCACCTGGTCACCAGTCGGTCGCACACAGCCGCTCCCAATAATTGGGAAGTCAGTAGCAGTGGCCACCGATGCTGCAGAGTTGCAGAAACATGTCCTGTCTTGTGTCGGCACCGTCATAGGGCGGTTGACATCGTGCAGATGAGAAAAAGCAAGAAGACAGATCTGATTCTGTGCAGCATTCGAGCACTGGGATCAGTCTCCTTGCACCCTGGCATGATCTGGCACAAAGTTGCCGCGGGCTGCCAGGAGTGCCGTCGCGTTCCTTGCAGAAAGTCTTTGTCATTCAACCGAAGAGGAGAGTGATCCCAGGCTCCTTGCTTGATCTTCGCACTCGAGGGTCCAAGACCCCACGAGTGCATTTTGCTAAACTGCACAATCTGCATGATCTCTTCGGTAGGCCAGGTTCCATGATAAGCAGTCCTGACAAAAGCTAACAGCCGGCCTTCCGACGGGGCCGAGTTGACTTCTGCAGCACTGCTTATGTGTCCGAGCATAGCGAGCTAGCGGGGAGTGAAGGAGAAAGACTTACTATAGGGGCCCAAATAGTTACATATACTGTTTTGGGGGTTTCCTTATTTTAATTGTAGTAGAATGAGCCCCAAAACCCTATTCTAATGATTCTAATGATTAAGGCCCCTATATTAACCAAAAAGCTGTCTGCTCTCACCCGTTCACTGTGATGCAGCAACAGATTCAGCAACAGTGATATATAAATGGAGCCATGCTACTCAAAGCGACGGAGTCCCGAGTCTGCATAAACGCAGTTTCGAAGTCTGCAATCTTCACACCGAAGTTGTAGGTGTCCATGAAACGGAGTTCGGTATCATCCAACGCCTCGAGATGCAGATGACAGCTGCCCACAAGCTATCCCAGCAAGTCATGCGGAGGTTTGCAGCAACGAGGGGGTGCCTGTGTCTCATCCCTTCTGCGGACCGGCATCGCATCCCCCGGGCAAACCCCGCGTACAGGGACCCTTGGGCTACAGATAGCTGACATGGCCGAGGCAAGATAGCTTTCTCCAGCCTTTCCTTGTGTGCTTACTGTTTTACCCTGGGTCCTATCAAGTTGAAATTCCGAAGTGCGTGGCTTGGGAATCCTTTTGCACTGCTGGACTGCGCCTGCCTGGGCTTTCGTAGTTTCGGATGTTCAGGTTGGTAAGGAGACGTGCGGATCTGACAGGAGCAAGAGTATGCTTTGCTGATAGACTAAACAGACTCGCAGCTTCGGTTGACGACCCCACAGCTACAGGACATTGGTATTGCTGCTATTGATACTGTTATTGTTATTCGTATCATTAGCCATGTTTACCGTTATTATAGTAACAACCCCTCTTCGTGAGACTGCCTAGAAACATGCGTACCAGCTTGGTCCGGACATTGAGATGCCATGGCTCAGGCAGGGCGTCGGGCTAGGAAATACCCTATGGAGTGCTGATGTCAGTGGGTATGGGATGCAATTGGAACCGCTCCAGCTAGTCGTCAAGTTTCAGAAACTGAGCGAGTCCAAAACATACCAACCGTTCAATAATATGAATAAACCGTGACAGGAGCATTCCCTTGGTCCTGTGGTATGCCCCAAGACCCTCTTCAGATAATCACGGTCCCTGTATTGTAGTCTTGCGACAGCTGGAGCACGAAAGACGTAAACGTTTCGGCAGACCTCGCACATCTTCGCAGTCGAGCCAGAATGAGGTCAAGACTGGGGGCCTCATTTTCTTTCTGGGCCATCTGCCGGTGTCGTTGGTGTGCCGAGGAACTGTCAAGCAAGTCTCGCTCCCATAAACCCACGTTTTCGGTGGGTCACTTCCACACCCGATCTTCACCTCAACCGAGCTTCCCCGCTGTTCTACTAACGGTTGCTTGCAGCGATCACCTGACCTGGAGATATGGAGACTTTGTTGAGGCGAGCAGTGAGGAGGGTGGGGCCACAACGACGGAGTCTACAGAGTCTACGAACCATGCGAGACACCATTGTGGCTTTTCTGATACTGAAACACCTACAGGATGTATCAACGGTCGGTACATACCCGAAGGCCTTGTGTTGTCATCTCACACATGTGGTCTCTGCAGGTCCAGTAGACCTCCATTGACGGATACTGTAGTCTGAACGCATTATTGCTGCCGCACTGTGCAGCCAGCTAAGAAGCCCACCTCGAGAAAAAGATGAGACCGAGGGCTCTGGAGTGCACCGACGTCGTCACACCAGCCTTCACTTCATTTGTCCGGTCATAACAACGGGCGGACTATCAGACGATCATTATATTGTAATGCATATCCAATCCCTTTTTCAGTGAATCATAGTAGGTTTTATAGTGGGTTACAGTATAGAAATGCACTACCTTGCAAGTTGGTGGCCACGTACTTTGAAGTAGAGAGATCACCTTGCAAATACTGTAGGGGCTTCAAGAATTACCTATACTACTTTGCGGGTTCCTCATTATATGAATATTATAATGGGCCCCTAAACCCTCTTCTAACTATTAAGGCCCCTATATTGTAGAACCCTTTTGTAGACCCCTTTAAAGGAGGTACCCTTTTGAAAGGAACCCTATTCTAATCATCTAGGCCCCGGTAGTTGCGAGGCTTGAGCCCTTTCGCTCTGCTATATCAACCCTCCGGTACCCCTCCTCGGCCTCCACAGCCCAGAAGCAGGAAAAGGGGTTTCGGGGTTGAGGGGTTTAGGGGTTTCGGGGGGGTTTAGGGTTTGGGGTGTCCCTCAAACCTAAACCCATAACCCTGATTACCAAGCCCCCAAAGCCTTAAATCCTAAGATCCAAACCCCAAGCCGCATCCGACCGTGGAGCCAGGTCTCGGGGGCACCAAAGTTCCAGTGCCAGTGCCTCATTTGAGGGTTTCTGGACTCACGCGGTTCACACGCACACAAGCGCAAAAACACACAAACACACACACACACACACAGACACAGCTATGTATATATATATATATACTCTCTCTATATATATCGTGCATAGGTACATACAGAAATAAACACAGGCACATACATACAGACATACACACACACATACGTACATGCATGCATACACGCATACACATACATACATACATACATACATACATAAATACACACATAAGTATGAATAAGGTTCTACAGAGCGGTTAAGATTTCATCGGAATGCTTCAGATACCTAGGATTTTGGGGAGAATCGGCAGGCACATTGGATCAGTAGCTCGGGGTTGGGGATATCGTTGGGAATGTGGTGGGTTGGTAGGATCGGGTGGCTACCTGGTGGGTCAGGGTGGCTTGTCTGTGGCGTTCCAAAGGTTTATGCTGAGATTCTTCACCCATGATGAGTCGGTCGATGATACGAATCCTGCATTACCTTAATAACCCCAGACTATGGGAATTACGGTTTATTCCTTATTATGCATAATGCAGGACTTATATCATCAACCGGTACACGAATTATGGTGGTATGATGGAAGCGTTGTTTGTTCGCTTCCGGGCTCAATCTCTATGTTCAGGATGCCTGGTTGTTGCGTTCCCCGGTGCCATGACCCGGGACCTAGGATGCTGCATACACTCCTTCCGACATCAAGATCCGCGAACCCTCCAGTAATACTCGTAAGTCGAACAATAATCGGAAGCTGGACGACATGAAGGCCCCCTTAATTATGGAATATACCTTAAGTCATATTAGGGACCCTACTATAATTTAAGGTATGTTCCTTCCCTAAGTCCCACAGACTCCTGCAGAATCTCGTTTCAGACCCAAAGTCCCAAACTTCTCAGCCCCTAAACCCTAAACCCCTAAACCCCTAGCCCTTAACCCTAAACCCTAAACCCCTAAACCTTAAACCCCTAAACCCCTAAACCCCTCAGCCCTAAACCCCCAAATCCTAAACCCCTAAAACCCCTAAACCCCTCAGCCCCTCAGCCCTACCAACCCTGAGAGGCCTCGAGCCCCGAGCACAAGCGCCGGCGCCGGCGTCATCGCTCGGGGAGGCCCAGAGTTGGGTAGCAAAGCAACGTACTGATAATTAGGGGTTGTAGGGTGGCGAGGGTTTAGGGCTTAGGGTTTAGGGTCTATGACTTCTACTTTTTCTTATGTTTCTTCCTTTTTGTGAATATACTATTATATACCCCAAGTTGACCCTGTTCTAATCATTCAGGCCTTTATATGACAAGGATGAAGTGGCCTTGGGATTTAGGATTATTAATGTAAGGGTTCAGAGGAGAAGGATGTATGCCTACCCGCTGTTGCATCTACGACCCCTAGTTCATCGTAAAGCTTTGCAGCAGTCGGGGGTTTAGAATAGGTTGTGTGTGATTCAACGGAGTGTCTAATCATTTTGTGAAGCTTTACGGGTCGTGCAGCTTGCCTGCACGCATGTGAGGGGACGATGTGAGGGGACATACCCGGGATGTCGAGAACATGTTGGGGATTGGTTCAGACTGAACCTTGTTTGCTGTAGATGTCGATTCTCATGTTGCTACTTATGACGGTGGTGTTGATGTTGGCACTGGTGATCATGGCACTCATGGTGCAGGGTTAAGTCGAAGCAGGCCGGCAGCCGAGAAGGGCGGCCGCGAAGTCAAGCTCTTCGTGGGCCGACTTCCTCGCGAGGCAAGGCGGCTGAGCCTTTCTCCCAAATTCGGCCGCTCCTTCTGCAGCTGTTGCTCCTCCGACTGCATGCTGCCTTTTCCTCCTGCTTTGCCACTGTTGGGGCGGCTGCGTCGAATCTCGTTGCTGCTACGACAACACAAACAGTAACACGACAACAGCACCGTCAACATCAATTACAAACTGCCTCCGAGCAGACAAGCAAAGAGACACAGCTGCAACTACGACACCTGCCGCTGCTGCTGCCGCTGCTGCCGCTGCTGCTGCTGCTGCTCCTTGGTCTTGGTCCTGGCTTTTGTATTGTTCCTCAATTCCGGCTGCTGGCAGTGCTGCAACTGCTTCTTACATTACATTACCACTGTTGCCACGGGAAGAAAATCAGCGCGGCAATCGCGGTGTACTGCAGAAGACATCTGGAATTGGTGTCTCAGGAGACTCTTTTGGCTGGTAAGGTACTTCCGGCCAACTCAATTGGCCGTGTGTTGTTCCACAACCAGCCCTATCCCAGCTGATGATCCTGAATAACAGGTCAAGGTGACATGAAGGCGTAAGACCGTCCGTGTGTGTGTGTGTGTGGGTGTTTACAATCAGTAAATAAATACACTATTTAATAAATCAAAATACTGTCATACATATGTGTGTGTATATATGTACATGTACGTGCATTGATCTAAAGGTCCTTGCCAATGATTTTATCTAGTACTGTGTGTTAAAGATGTGAAGCAATGAAACGGCAAAAGTGATGCGATGAGTCGGCCAAAGGGAGGCAAGACTCAACAACTGCCCTTACGTAACGAACTTGACGGGCTGGCCAAGCACGCAACCACGTAAAAAGACCAGCCTTTTCGTGTCTGCTTGCCTGCCTGTCTGTATGTATGTATGCATGGAAGGATGTAGGCATGCACGCATGTCTGTATAAGCATGTGCGTGCATCCGTACATAGATACAACAGTATTTCCCCACATCTATACATGTATTTGCACATATGTACACAAACAGAAATAGACAGATAAATCGGTAGATCTGCAGATAGACATTTTTAATGCTGAGCAGCCCTTGGCCCGCAGGTTACGCGGCAGCAGCTGCAGCAAGCCTTCCAGCCTTATGGACCTGTCCTTGAGGTCTTCATCATCAGCCAGCAGGCTCTCATTGAAGTGTCTTCGTGTTGCTACGGTTCTTATGACCGTTTCACTTGCAATCCCACTTGTCATATGTTGCATGGTCATATTACAGATTTTCTTATGTATATTCGCTTTTTTGTTCTTGTTGTTTTCGTTTTCCAGACTAGGGGCTTGAAGACAGACAGGAGGATCCCAGCTGCACGCAAGACAGAGGATCAAGCGAGCCCATCTTCTCTAGATTCACGAGAAGACCCTAAGCCAGGTAGAGGTTCTTGTTTTCATCGAAGCTAGGTTCCTGGTAGGTATTCTTCAGAAAGTGACGGTGACAAGGAAACTTGTAGGTTATCTCTTCGATCTTTATCAGAACCCATGACTCCTCTTCCTGGGTTTAGCTTTGAGACTCCCACACAAAAAAAAAGTAAAAGCCAACGAGGAAGGCCTCGGCCACAACCGGCTCGGAGATAAACTTACCAGTGGTTAGTAGGGAATGGAGGAATGGGGTACAATTATAACTACCATTTCTACCATTCTTCCATTCCCTACTAACCAAAGGTAAGCAAAGCCGAACAGCTGCATGACGATGCAGGCATCGAGCCAGCTTGGTTGCGCGTTCGTCCGGCTGCCAAGCTTGGAGCAGGCCTGCTTCCGGTTGGTTTCAGAGCACAGCGTCTTGTCTATCAGCTTTGAAAAGCTGCATGGCAAGAGCGAGCTGTTGGCTCCAGGTGGACCAGAGTGCAGCCAGCTTGTCTGCAGAAGTCGATCTAGACTTCACACTTGACCTAGCCTACCGCTCGAGTACCGCCCTAAATACAAAACCCTATAACACTGGCAGGCAGACCTGCACGGCAACAAACGCCTTTAGCATTGCAGCTACTTTGCAGGCGCAGAGGGCTGTTCATGAGCTTCACGACAAGCCGGCAAGCGACGCAGCTTCTCCTTCAGAGTCTTCACCGCGCTGCTTGCAGGCTTTTCCGGATATCTGTCTTTGATGTATGGGTCCGGCCCCTTTACCATCCTTTACCCCTAAGCCCTCAGCAGTTGAGGTTCCTGAGAGTTCTCTCTTCAATCCGCTCCAGGCACCAGCACTTGCTCTTGTCACAGGGCTTCCTTGCTTTTGTTAGCTTGTCTGGCTTTCATGACACCGCCGCGACTTTGGGATCCGGTTCGGGTTGTATAGTGTAACGTCCGGATCACTCAGCGTGCCGTGATGCGATGGATGGGTTCATGGAGGGACGCGTGGATGCATGGATGATCAGCGTAATCGTAGTTTGTTTGGGGCTGAGGTGCACCCTAAATCCTAGACTCTCAAACCCTAGACTCCTAAACCCTAAACCCTAGACTCTTAACACCTAAACCCTAAGCCCTAAAACCCTACAGCCTAGATTCCGAAATCCTCAACCCGAACCCAAAGATCCGCAGGTAGCCCTGGCGAAGGGCGAGGCGGAGCGCTTGGGCTTGGGCCCGGACATCGGAGAGGCCCGGAACCGAACAGTAGTAATATCAAATTAATAGTATATGGTAGCAATATCAAAGTAATACATAGTAGCAATCAAAAAGTTTGATCGTATGATAGGCTTGGTTTGGGACTTCGTCACTTGGGGGTTCGATTTAATTACCTGTAGCCGAAGAGACCTACCCTTTTAAGGAACTATACACACATGTATATATATATATATATATCAGAACAAGGAAGTTTGGTCATTTCGACGACAGGTAGGGTTTAGGAGTTTAGTGTTCAGGAGTTAGGGTGCCAGGCTCGAGTTCCCGATAGCAGGGCTTCGAGTTACGTAGGTAGGGCTTCCGCCCGAGCCCCAGGGGTTTCGTTCGTTGCAGGCCCCTATACCCTTAACCCTAAAGCCTAAATCCTAAACGCCCTAAACCCTAAACCCCTAAAGCCGCCAAGCCCTAAACCCTAAGCCTAAATATCGGTTCCACACGTCAGGCACCCAGACATGCCGGATGTACCTCTGTTCCCAGACCCTAGCGAAACTAATCCCGAAGGCAGGCAAGAAGCAGGACCTGCACCAGTTGGCCACGGCCTCGGACTCCTGGCATATACTTATACAGAATGCTTATATACAAACTGAAGACGGATAGCTTGGAAGGAGGTCTCCTTGATATCTGCATTTTGTCAGACGGTGTTGCGTTGTGCTCTTGCCCTTCCGGGTGTTGCGGAAGCCAGCTACCATGCTCTCTCTGTTTGTGACAGCGGATGGTGATCCTCCATAGTTCGGAGCCCAGGGCAATGAGGTCAGGTGGGTCACGAATTATCTTTGCAAAGTGTTGGTAGATGTCTATAGCAGAGTGTGCATGCATAGTTATGCTCACCACTGCCTTGTGCTTGTATTGATGCAGGTATTCATGTCTGTCTGAGTGATTTTGAGTATGTTGTCGTGCGGCATCGTGTTGGCGTTGCATTGCATTTGCATGACAGGGCACTGCATTGCGCTACATTGCATGATGTTGTACTGCATTGTACTGTATTTCATGGTAGTTTGTTGTACGGTATTGTGTTGTCTTGTATTGTATTGTGTGGTGTGGTTTGGCATGGTACTGTATGTCTGTATGCACATTGGTAAACAGGTATGTATGCATGCATAAAATGTATGCATGTATGTATGTATGTATGCATGCATGCATTCGTTTGTGCTTTGTGCCAACCTTGCATCGTACTCCGAAGCTACATCGTCTAAGCTCCACTGGAAGTCGCTGATCAAGGTCGGCCGCGGGTTACAGCCTCCCCTCGCCCCTCCTTTGCAGGCCACCAGCGCTGGGCTGCTACCTGTCCGGACGCTGGTGGACCTGGTCAAGGAGCCTAAGTATGGGTTGCAAGTCTGTAAATTATATTAAATCAATAGTACGGAACCCCCAGAACCCTCTTCTAATTAAAAGGGACTCTACATTAAGTCCTAAGTCTGTTTTGCTCTGCTCAGAACCCGTGACCGCTACAGGAGGGGCAGCGGAAATCCGCGGGCTTCAAGCAGAAGTGGCAAGCGCCTCAGAGAGTTCTTTGGCCCTAAACGGCCGCCAAACCTAAGTCAATCCAAAACCTGGGCAGCCGAGTTTTTCTTGTCTTCGCTGTGCTGGCATGTGCTTCCTACAGGTTTGCTTTTGGGGATGCTTATTGCTTGTGGTGGTGGTGGTGGTGGTGGTGGTGGTGGTGGTGGTGGTAATGGTGGCACTGGTGGTAATAGTGGTAATGCTGGTAATGCGCTGGTAGTGATCGTAGTCGTGGTGGTGGCATCGTGTTCTCTTCGTCTCTTCATGTACACTGTGTCCTCATTCTTGGTGCTACTGACTTGTCTCTGTTTTAGCAGTGTGGTTGACAATGGCAGTTTCTCATCTGGAGTATTCGCTTGTTCATCAATAATATCAGTCTCGATTTCCCCATCTTATCATGTAGTGCCACAATCACCGCAAACTGCCCTCCTGTTTATCCTTACCTCCATATCGCCATCACCAGCAACAATGCCATCGCTGCCTGCAGCACATCTCCTCATAATTTTCACCTTCATATTCACCTTCGGCTTCATCTTCTTCTTCATCTTCTTCATCTTCTTCTTCATCATCATCGCCATCATCATCAGTGTCGGCATCACCATCACCATCACCATCATCATCATCATCCCATAAACCTCCAGCATCATCACCATCATCTTCGAAATCGTCATCATCTTCAGTTGGCCAGTAAGTAGTTTGCGATACATACTAATGTCGTCAAAACCACCACACCCCCTGTCGTGAACGGAGGCGAAGCTTCTGCGAGTTCGCCAAGACCCAGGGAGTCAAAAGTAGCCGACCGTCGTGGCCTCGGCGATTTGGGACAGACTGGTTTAACCTACAGCCAAACTAACTCTGCATTAGCCCGGTAACCTTATCCAGCCTGCTCTGCCGGGCCCAGCAAACCTAAGCGAGCCAAAGCTATCTGGCAGAGTTGCGCCACCTCAACGCAGATATCACTTCTCGAGATGTCATCCGTGAGCTCTAATCAACCTGATCTGCAGCCCTGAGGAGTCATCTGAGGCATTTCGTGTAGCCAAAAGACAAGAATCTTGGAGTAACTCAACTCGGGCTTGCGGCTAAGCCGTCGCGACATCCTCTTTAGTCACCCAGCCGCTGGCCTTGGAGCCAATGAATGGGTCCAGAAGACGGAGGGGGCGGGGTTCCGGTGGCCAGGAAAAGGGTGGGTTGTTGGGGAAGGGATTAAGAGGAGGGGAAACGGAGGATTTTGCAGGAAACTTTTACGCCTCGGCCGGGACCGAGGCGAATATACGGTTTGAAGCATTCTTAGCGCGCTATACTATACCGTAGTATATTGTCATGCTTTTAAACATACTACAGTGCACCACAACATACAAGAGCCGTACTACCCATCATCCCACGCCGTTAAAGAGATACCCCGTTTCCATACCAAGACTGTCTGGTAACCCTAGAACTAGAACCCCAAACCTTTCACCCCAAAAACCCTAACCCCTAAACCCTAACCCCTAAAAACCCCAAACCCTAAACACTAAACCCCAAACCTTACACCCCAAAACCCAAAACTCAAAACCCTGACCCCTAAACCCTTAAGACCCTAAACCCTAAACCCTAAAACCCTAAACCCGAAAACCCTAAACACCCTAAACCCCAAAACCCGAACCCCAAAACCCGAAGCCCTAAACCCTAACCCCTAAACCCCTAACCCCTAACCCCTAAACCCTAAAACCCTAAACCATACTGCCTGGTAGATGAAGGTCAAAGCATCCTGCGGGAGCGTTGGCGCACTTCGTGGGAACGGTACTTCCCTCTCTGCGCATGCTTTGCTGCTTTGGTGTTTACGCCTTAGGGGTTTAGGGTTTAGGGGATTAGGGTTTAGGGGTTGGGTTTCAGGTTTCGGGTTCAGGGGTTTATGGGTTTAGGGTTTTGTGTGTTTAGGGCTTGTAGTTGTGGGGTTTAGGTTTAGGATCTAGACAAAGAGGGTCAAACGGAATGAATGATATCGTGGTCTATTATTCTTGTTGTTCATACACTAGAGTATCTTATCAAATACTATGTTCAATGGTATATCCCGTAGACATTTGGTTGGACGAAGGTCAAGACAACAGGCAAGGATGCATGGTGGTAGGGTTGCCGCCCCTTCGCTGCTACTTTCTGCCATCACACACACAGAAGCACGCATCCGATGACGTTTTGGATCCTTAAACCCTTTTGAACCCTACCCTAAACCCTAAACCCTAAACCCTAAACCCTAAACCCTAAACCCTAAACCCTAAACCCTGAACCCTACCCTAAACCCTAAACCCTAAACCCTAAACCCTAAACCCTGAACCCTACCCTAAACCCTAAACCCTAAACCCGAAACCGCTTTGGCTCAGGATTTTTTCTCCAAGGGCATTCCTCTATCGCTCTGGCATCTTCCGGTCGGGCATCACTGGTAGAGCTCCCTCTGGCAACTCTTGTATGGCAGTTCTGCCCGTCGTAAGACTCCAGCATGCACATACATATACATAAAAACATATGTATATATATATATATATAGAGCTCATATGTGTAGGTGCATATGTATGCTGCATCGTTGCAGAGGGAACTTGAGCTGAAGCTTGACCGCCAAGTTGCGAAGAGGACGCCCGGACTCCGGACGCCCAAGTAGATTCCACAAATGTCCAGAGATCTTCTTTGGGTGAAGAGGGGCGCTGTGGCCCCGATGAAGGCGCTCGGAGACGGGTTTGAGGGAATCTTTCCGGGACGAGCAGTCCGTCATAGAGGTGTTGTTCCACAAGTGCAGGGCATGTTGCTTTGGGAAGGTGTCTTCCCGCACAGATGGCCAGCCCTACGCCGACAAGGCTCGAACTCTGCATAACCCATAACCCGACTCCTGAAACCCTTTAGCGCCACAAATCCTGACCTCCAAATTTCTTGCTGCTTCACAAAAGACCACACAGGAGGAGTCTCCCCCAATCGCAGCAGCTTGGTGCCTGAGATGCATTACGGTCAATACAGCACGGAAGCAGAAGGACCAAACCATGAAGTTTGGACACAATAGCGGGGCCTGAGTCTTTATGTGACGGTCTGTCCTTAAACCCCGTTCTATAATAGGATATAATAACATAACCCAATATAATAAAACATAATATAATATAATATAATATAATATAGTATTATATAATATAGTATTATATAATATAATATAGTATTATATAATATAGTATTATATAATATTATATAATGTTATATAATATAATATAATATAATATATAATATAATATTATATAATATTATATAATATAATATAATATAATATAATATAATATAACATAATACAACATAATATAACATAATATAATATAATATAATATAATATAGTATAATATAATATAATATAATATAATATAACATAGTATAATATAATATAATATAATATAATATAATATAATATAATATAATATAATATAATATAATATAATATAATATAATATAATATAATATAATATAATAATATATAATATAAGATAACCTTATATATCCTAATAACCATTCAGACCACTACTCGTATAATGAAAGTAGTAAGGGTCAATACTCACTAACTTCTCATTCAACAGAACATTGAGGGAAAGGCTGGAAGTGGCTTCGGTTGGCAGTGATTTTACGTGGGCATTGCCCATGGCTTATTGGAGTCTGTTGGGTAATGTGTTATATCCAAAAAATACGCATGGTATTATATAAATGGGTCACCTGTGTGCAAATATCTGCGTTGTGGTCTTTTAAGTTCATTCTATAGTACATCCAACTGTTGTCTGTGTCAGTGCGGCTTGTCTGCTGTAGCGTCCTATCAGAACACCTCGAAACACCTTTGTCCTGTCAGTCTCGGCCTTGGCGGGAGCATAAACTCAAACCTACATCGCCTTGCTCCAAGGATGAATCTCACGAAGAACCTCGTCGGCGCGGGCATCTTCAGCCTGTCCTTCGACCTACCTGTGACGAGTCGTTTAGGGTTTCAGGGGTTCAGGATTCGGGGTTTCGAGTTCACGCTGTGAGGGTTGAGGAGTTTGAGGTTTAGAGTTTAGGCCTCAGGGTGAGTTGGTACAATATTGGGCACAGCCATACTGATCTTGATCATGCGGAATCACAAAGCTAGAGCAGGTATGTTGACAATTACTGACAGTGCTACCGCAGCTGCGGTTCTGCCGCACGAAATGCTGGTCCCTAAACACCCAATGCCGTGAAGCTAACTTAGCCTGCGACCCCAAACGCTAAGCCCAAGCCCTCAACACATTCCTCAACCTCAAACCCGAAATCCTATCCCTTAAACCCCCTAAACCCCTAAACCCTAAAACGCTGAACCCCTAAACCTCTAAAACCCCCTAAACCCTAAACCCCAAAACCCTAAAACCCCTAAACCCTAAACTCCTAAACCCTAAAATCCTAAACCCGAAACCCTAAAACCCCCTAAACCCTAAACCCCTAAACCCTAAACCCCCTAAACCCTAAACCCCTAAACCCTAAAATCCTAAACCCGAAACCCCTAAAACCCTAAAACCCCCTAAACCCCTAAACCCTAGACCCTAAACCCATAAGCCCCCTAAACCCCCCGAAAGCACCTCCTACAAGGCCCAGCGCGCTGCTCAGTGGCTCTGTCCTCCCGGGGCTCATGGCCATGGTCGCAGCACCCCGACCTTACATCATCGAATATTCTATAATGTTATATTACATATTACAGTATACTATATTAAACTGTATAATATAATGTATTATGGTATGATATTATGTTATATTATACTTTGTTATATGATATTATAGTACATTGTAATATGTTGAACTTTATTATAATCATGGTCTTAACGAAACCCGTTGATGTCATGATTGTCATGTTGATACTAATCGCAGCAATAAGGATAGTCATACTTCGTTGTCGTTTTCGTTTTTATAGTACTCCGATTCGGACAGCGACTGTCGTTCGTTGGGCTGTTGTCGTTATCGTTATGACGGTGATACTTGGTGTTACAGATACTACAGTTAGCCGGGACTTCGCAGTATTGTATCTTTCGTCTCTAGTCTTGCTTTTGCTTACTGATTTGATGATGATTATGATGGCAGCTCTTGCAACTACTACTATTAGTAACTAGTATGGTGATGTTGATGACGATGATGGTTACTATGTAGTGGTAGTGTTACTGCTACCACTACCGCTACCGCGACCTTCACCACTACTACTGCTACCAGCACCACCACTCACTACTACTACTACTACTACTACTACTACTACTACTACTACTACTACTACTACTACTACTACTACTACTACTACTAATCGGAGTGCTACTACTACTACGACGACGACGACTACTACTACTACTACTACTACTAGGAGTGCGACTACTGCTACGACTACTACTACTACTACTACTACTACTACTACTACTACTACTACTACTACCACTATAACTAGTACTACTTGTACTGATACTGTCCATACCGCAGTATTGCTTGGACACCTCCGCCGAAGGTGTGCTTTTTCTGCGGAAGCAGCTTCATCCTCATTGCTTTCTTATGCAAACGTCTAAAGTGTCAGCCGCAGCCTCAGTTGCTGAGAGAAGCAGCCGGTGTTGCACCGCTCCCTATATCTCCACAAGCCTTGAGCGGTTTGCTCTGCGAGCCGTCCCTGTGAGATTCAGCACAAACGGTGTGGGCAAGCCTCGGAACCTCAGACAAAACTCCCAAAAAAGCTCAGGACTTATCGAGAGGTTTGGTGCAAGGCCTTCGGCTCGCGGACCGGCATCCTGGTCGATGCCTTTATTGTCATCAACGGCTTTTTCGCATGCTGCTCGGACCAGTATCATCCTTTCCCTGTCCATCCCGGAGCCTTGGCCCTACGGTTGAGAGTATACATCCTGCATTACCTTAATGACCCTCGACTCTGGGAATTCCTTATTATGGGTAATGCAGGATGTATATCATCAACCTTACGAACTTTGCGGTTGCATGGATTTCCCATTCCCAAAGATCTGCACAGGTGTGGCGTATACTATCTTGGTGGCCGACTTCCTTCAAAAAGCTGCAGAGGGCTTGCTGGGTAAATGTCCGAACCGCGTGTTCCTCATCGCCAGCAACACCTGCTGCCTGCCCGATTTGTGAGCATGGACTTTCACATTGCATCCTACAGCTGAGATTTTGCCGCGTCGAAGCCATATCGGCGCCTGCTCTCTGAGGTTTCTTCATGCTGCCCCTCTCCCATGCCAAAGACTTATCGGCCTTGAAGTTTACGTCCATGATGGGGCTGGTCATTATCGCACTTGTGCGGCTTGGTGGATATAGCAGCAGCACTTGTCTCTCTCGACCGCCAGTTTAGCAGGGTTGCCTTGGTCTTCTGAGTTAGAGTCAGTGCATTGCAATTCCGACAGCTGCAGTGATGTAATGCACCCCTCTCCACTCAAAACTCACTGACTGTGTCGGCCGTTCCCTCCATGTCGTGAATCGCCCCGACCACAATGCGAGCGGCTCTATGAGCCTGCGAGCTGTTAAAACTTCTACTTTAAGGGTAGCTTTAGCCAGACAAACAGTGCTCTCGTGGGCAACGCAGTCGCAATCGTGTCAGAAGTATCAGAATGCACAGTTCTGGTTCAACTTCTGCTTGACTACCGTACGGTCACAGAAGACATAGCAACATCAAAAATAGGCACAACCGAAGCTGAATGAATGAGTCAAGACCTGCTGAGTGTGGTCGAGAGTCATCGTCACAGCGATCTTGAAGCGCATATGACGAACCATGAGAATGCTAGTCTAGCATGACTTTAGCGGAA